TCCTCCCTGCTCTCTGGCTAGTTGCTAATCTCCCTTTCCTGAGCAAGGTTCTGGAGCGAGTGGTTGCAGACCAAATCCAGGCACCTTTGGAAGAAACTAATTTTCTGGATCCATTGCAGACAGAGTTTCAGCCTGGTTTTGGCACAGAAACTGTTTGGGTTGCCCTGTATGATAACCTCTGTCGAGAGAGAGACAAGGGAAACATGTCACTGTTAATTCTCCTTGATCTCTTAGCGGCTTTTAATACCATTGAACATGGTATCCTTCTGGAGCAACTCTCCAAGCTAGGGGTAGGTGGCACTGCAGGGTTCTGCAGGACTCAATCCTATCCCCCTATGTTGTTTAACATCTACATGAAACCACTGTGGGTGGAGTTATCTGGAGGTTTGGAGTACATTGTCAGCAGTATGCTGATGACACTCAGCTCTATTTCTCCTTTACATCTGCAGGTGAGGCAGTGGAAGTGCTGGACCAGTGTCTTGCCTTGGTAATGGACTGGATGAGAGCCAACAAACTGAAGCTCAATCCAGATAAGACTGAGGCACTGTTAGTGGGTGGTTCCCTAGACCAGTTGGGTGGGAGATTGCCTGCTCTTGATAGGGTTACACTTCCTCTGAAGGAGAGGGTACGTAGCTTGGGGGTACTCCTGGATCCTTTGCTGTCACTTGAGGCTCAGGTAGCCTCAGTGGCCCAGAGTGCCTTCCATCAGCTTCGGCTGGTGGCCCAGCTACGCCCCTATCTGGACAGGGATAGCCTAACTACTGTTGTCTATGCTCTGGTAACCTCAAGGTTGGATTACTCCAATGTGTTATACATAGGGCGTCCTCTGAAGATGGTTTGGAAACTTCTTCTAGTGCAGAATTCAGCAGCCAGGTTGCTCAATGGAGCAAGACGGTTTGAGCATATTACACCATTCCCTGTCGGACTGCACTGGCTACCATTTAGTTTCCAGATCCAATTCAAAGTGCTGGGTTTGACCTATAAAGCCTTAAATGGTTCAGAATCACAATACCTCAAGGACCGCCTCTTTCCACGAGATCATCTTCTGAGGCCCTTCTTCGTATGCCACCTCCTGGAGAGGTCCAGAGGGTGAGAACACGAGAACAGGCCTTCTCTGCAGTGGCTCTCCATCTGTGGAATGCTCTCCCCCAGGGAAATTTGCCTGATACCTTCATTATATACCTTTAGGCACCGGGCAAATATGTTCCTTTTAACTAGGCCTTTGGTTGATTTGATTGACATCCTTTTAAAATGTGTTGGAGGGGGTTATTGGGTTGTTGCTGTTTTTATTTTTATTTTGTATTTTGTGGTTTTATGTTTTGTGGTTTTATGTATTTTGTGGTTTTATGTGGTTTTATGTTGTGATTTTATTCTGTGAACCACCCTGAGACCTGCAGGTATAGGGTGGTATATAAATTCAATAAATAATAATAATGAATAATTCCTCTTTCCTGTGCTCCATCGCATATTCCCACCATATATTGTAAGGCTTCCCTGGAGGCAACATAGATCTGTCTCGACTGATTGCACTGGCAAATTTCTGTGTCATTTGTAAGCTTGGAAAGGTGGAGCGAGGGAGACTTGGCAATAGGAAAATAATCAAAACATCAGGACTGCGGATGTCTATTTGGGCTGGTTCCAGAAGGATCAAAAATTTGAAAGGAGCATGTTTCTCAGATGGAATTTCTACTTTGTGGAAATTAATTTATGGTCTGAGGGCCACATTCGCTTCTGGGCAACGTGTCAGGGGGCAGGTGCTAGTGGCAGATAGAGGCAGAGTGGGTGGAGCAGTGAGTGGCAATTTTACATTTGTACAGTAGGCTAGGGAGCTTGAACTGAAGAGAGGGGAACTTCTGGAAGTCAGATCCAATTTCAATAGAGCAAACCGCTGCTCATTGTAGCTGGATGGAGTGAGTGGCTGCAGCCTGGTGATGCACTAGCTGTAGGGAGATGCAAGATGCCAGCCAGTTTCTACCTGGCCAGATAAAGTGGGTGGGGTGCCTGGAGACTTCATCCCATTCTGGACGAGCTTCCAAAGGACACATCCCAATGGTGGTTGGGGGCAGAGGCAAACATGGGCAGAGCAATCAGTCAAGCAAGAGGCACAATCAGAGTTCAAGCCTGCATCCCAGCTGGACAAAAACACTCAAGGAAAGGAAGGGGCAGAAGGGGGTGTGGTTTGGGGAGAGTCCTGAGGGCTGGGTAGAGAGACTTGGGGGCCAAATTTGCCCCCCAGGCCTGAGGTTGCTAATGCTGCTTCAACATTAGGGAGTAGGAAGTTTACTGCTCTGTTGCACTGGGTGCAAAGTGACCCTGGAAAACAGTTTTTCAAGGGATACTGATATTAAGACTACGGTTTTGTGGACTGGGTAATATGTAGGAGAGTGGAATTCACTCCACTCAGCATAAAAACCACACTGGAAAAAATTGCTGGGGACACTATACTCTCCTCATCCTTGAGATGAGCATTATGAGCTGTAAAAACCATATATTTCTCAGCTGGGGAAATGATCTTCCTTGTCAACAACTGTAGCTATACTCATGGTGCTGTATAAAGACCCCTGTGGCTCTAAGTAGTAGAAGCCGTGTCTCTGTCATGGAGATATTAACTGTCCAAGCAACTACTGCTTGCCTTGAAGGCCAAAGGCAGAACAGTTACTCTACCCTATGTGCATTGGATTAGAGCCACTTTCTGCTCAATTGACTCATTATCCGACTGAACGGCAAAACCCTGCCTGCTGTGCACTGATGCGTACTGACAGCTCCCAATGTGCTCTGGGGTTGTTCATCTGTCCTGAAACAACTTCCTTGTCTCATCTTTGGTGGGAGTTCAGAGAAGCAGGATCTGGACACTTCCCAAGTGATGGCAGATGGTGCTGGAGGCAAGCAAGGGTGTAAGAGTCTGTCCCCAGCACCACCTCCAACACTACCAACTGTGTGTTTGGCTCTGTACAATCCAGCACCTTCATGCTGACTTGGATGCAGCAGAGCAGTGTGTGCGCTCATTGTCAACCCAGTCCTCTGGCTAGAAGGGGGTATTTCCATATCACTGGGAACATGTGGTCCTTGGCAGAGTTTATGGGAAGGGCACGCAAAGGTAAGTGGCAGGAGAAAACACTAAAAACTGCTTTAGACTAGGCTGGTACAGTACCAGGCCACATACAGTCTGTTCTGGGGTTGGAAGTCTCTGGGGCCCCCTCATTGGCTATGCTTTGGATCCTTCTTGAATGTCCAGTAAAGGTAAAGGTACCCCTGCCCGTACGGGCCAGGCTTGACAGACTCTAGGGTTGTGCGCCCATCTCACTTAAGAGGCCGGGGGCCAGCGCTGTCCGGAGACACTTCCGGGTCACGTGGCCAGCGTGACAAAGCCACATCTGGCGAGCCAGCGCAGCACACGGAACGCCGTTTACCTTCCCGCCAATAAGCGGTCCCTATTTATCTACTTGCACTTAGGGGTGCTTTTGAACTGCTAGGTTGGCAGGCGCTGGGACGGAACGACGGGAGCACACCCTGCCGCAGGGATTCGAACCGCCGACCTTTCGATCGGCAAGCCCTAGGCGCTGAGGCTTTTACCCACAGCGCCACCCACGTCCCCCCTTGAATGTCCAATTTCTGGCCAAAAATGAAGAGTGACAGGGAGGCAATGTAGGTTTGCACCAGCCATTCTGGACCAATGGCTGCTGCAGAAATCAGGTGAGATGTCGCCTTTATGTGACTGAAGACAATTGACTTGGGAGTTCATATGAAGCTCTAGCCCAGGGATAGGGAATGTCAGACCCAAAGACTGGATGAGACCCTCCAGGCCTCTCTGTCTGGCCCTAGGGACTCTCCCCAGGCCATACCCCTCACAAGCCCAGCTTCTTCCCCTCCTTGAGTGTGTTTTCTTTCCTGGGTGGGTCCTGGAGCTCCAAAACACCTCTTACTTGCCTCAATGTGGGGCAGAGAGAGCTGTGTGAGAGTATCTGTTGAAACTAGCCTGCCATAGAGGTAAAATTCAGTCCTTGCTCCTCCCACTTTTGCCTCTGGTCCCACCCGCTACTGGCTTGTGGCTCCTCAGAAGGTTGCCCAGAAGGGAATGTGACAGAGAATTTGTCTATCATCATGGGGTGGTTGGTTTCACCTGTGCTGCCTCACTTTCAGCCCAAGGAACCTTCAGAAAGGAGTTGCTGCCACAAATGTGTCTTTTAATGAACTGAATGGAGTGGATGATTATGAGTCATGGGGGTGTGGAGAGTGTGTGTATGCATTCGGCAGTGCTGAGATTATTTTTTTGGTTGCTATCTTGTTAATGGTGTTGTTTTATAGATGATGGAAGCTCTAGTACTTTGTGATTCCTATAATGTGACTTTTGCTCTAATTGCGCTGTTTAGCTTATTTTTTGTTGTTTTGTTGGTGGTGTTTAATGGATTGTTTTTGTTGTTTTCTTACTTGTTCTGTATGGTTTGTACTGTATTTTGTTCTATTATGTTATTGTTATTTACTGTTTGTAAGCCACATTTGAATGAAAAGTGGCATAGAAATATAATCAGTTAAAAAATCAGAGGTCTGAACTGATGGTTTGCAGAGCAGCTGACAACCACATCAGATTGCACTGAGGGCCACATGCAGTCTCGGGGCCTTGTTCAACTGGAGATGGCAGGAACTGAACCTGATGCCGTCATGCACTGACCTTTCTCCCCACAACCACCTTTCATATTGAGATATGGCTTAGCTGCCCTCCCCCCCACACACATACACTCCCTTTAGAACAGGTGTGGTGAAGCTGGGACCCTCCAGCTGCTGCTGTACTACAACGCCCATCATCCTGGGTTGCGGGAGATGATGGGAGATGTAGTTCATCAACATCTAGAGGGCCTCAGGCTTTGCTCTCCTGCTTTAGATTGTTGATTCCTTCCTTCTGACTTGTTCTGGGGTGGGGTTTTTTTAGTCAGTCAAAGAATATGTTAATGAATATCTCTTCTCTTTTCTCTCTCCCTCCCACCATCTCTCATTCAATACAGTTGAAGTGAACTTGCTGGACATACTGGCCTCCCACAACACAGACTTTGGCAATTTTTCACATGGCTATGATGATGCTAACTGCAGCATCTTGGAGGTTGGACAGTATGCAACGCTCAGCATCCCTTCTGTAGAAGCCTTTGGGGAGAAGTGAGTGTCAGGTGCCCAACATCTTCACCTTTATCTCCACCTCCTCATGAATATTGAAGTCACCCAGGTCTATGGTCCTGTGGTCCTCCAACAATACTCCAGAGACCACCTCAGGCAACTCAGTTAGGAATGCTGTTGGGCAACAGGGTGGTCAGTAAACCAGCAGTATCTCCAGTCCATCTCTGTGCCCCAGTCTGTCCAAAGATGAAGAGGTTTTCTGATCAAGGAGATAATGCTTTTGTGGACAATAGCAACACCTCCTCCTTGAGTCCCCAATCTAACCTGGTGATGTACCACATACCCTGGCTGGGTAAGGCTACCTGGCGGGTAAGGCTAGGCCCACCCAATTCACTCACCCAAGTCTCAGTAATACACACCAGATCAGCCTTCTCATCCACAATCAAATCATGGATGAGCATGTTTTTCTTATGAACCAATCTGGCATTCAGTAACATCACCACCAAACCAAAGGGATCAGTGGATAGACCACCAGTATCTTCTAGAGGAGTGAGAGGACTAGGATGAGGAACTGAGACCAAACATCTAGGCCTCTGCCCCATATGGTAGTCAGCCCCTCCATTCTAATTGCCCACAATTACTGGAATTGAGGTAGCATTTTCACAATCCCTGGTATATGCCCACCTCGGCATATTTGAACACCATCATCCATCACCACATCCAACTGGGAGATTAGGGCCACAGATAGTAAACTAAGACACAATAGCATGCACATCCCACCCCACCAGGAGGAAGATGGTTAAGTCCACAACTACTCTCCTCTCCCTGCCTCTCACTCAGGGGGAACCTCACCAAACTAAACTTCTATTCAACCAGGCTCTCACCATGACTGAGGTTCACAGGCCTGTCTCCCACAGTATCTGGCCTAGAATTCTGTATCTTGACTGACAGCGGTGGACACCCATGCCCTGTGGCTCCCCAACCTCTTTGGTGTCAACCCCTTTGCAGTGGACCCCACTGACCACGGCAGGGCCTATTGTTATAATAGTAAGGCAGGCCATGGGCCACACCCACTGCCCAGCTTTATTTAGCAATCAAGCAAAGCCCCATACTATAATCACACCACTTTCTCTCTTATCTGCAGGCAGATGTCTCACAGGACAAGCAGAGTGACACAGACAGAAATGGCTCACACACTCTTGCTGGCTGGCAGAACAGACCTGGCAGAGGCTAGGATTGTGCGAACCACCCTCTTTCTAGTTGGCCTTCTGTAGGCCTACTCCCCAAACTGATATGGAAATGTGGTGAGCAGGACTTAAGACTGGAAAAATAAGAAACTAAATTGACAGATTCACTCATCCTTATTTCTATACCACTCTACTGCTGTACATGGATATGGGCCACCCCACATTGTCCTCACAACAACTCTGCAAGAAAGTCTAGGCTAAGAGAGAGAGAGAGAGAGAGAGAGAGAGAGAGAGAGAGAGAGAGAAAGTTACTAGCCCAAGGTTACCCAGTAAGCTTCATGGCTGAGTAAGGGATTCAATCTTCCTAGTCAAAATACAAGGCTCTAGCTACTATTCAACACAGCTATTCTGTTATTCATGCTCTGCTTCTCTTTTAGCTTTGCAGATGAGCTGAGTCTGCTGCTGATGCTCAGGTACTCTTTGAAGGAGAACACCAGTCTCTTGACTATCATTGGTCTTCAGAGCAACATCCTCTTTCAGATCAGGATTACCCCTCACACCTTGGTATTTGTTGCCAGAAGGGGGCACCATTATGAGTGAGCTCAGTGCCATATTTTTCTTCATTATTGCATCACACTGTTGCACAGACTGAAAGCCAAACCTATCTGTGCTGAACTTCGATCAGGGAGCAGAATCAGTGGGACAGTTCTCCTCCAGACAAACCTCTGGGCTATTAAAATTTTTCCCTACTGCTATTTTTCTAGAAAAAGGTGTGCCAGAACTCACCATGAGCACTTCCCTTGTTCTCTTATAATGGCAATGGCACTCACCTGAGAGGTACTGGAACTGAGTTCTGGTGCTTTCCAGCTGGAAAAAAAAAGCCCTGATCCCTCCCTTTCCCCTCTCCTCCATGCAATTAATATTGCCAGCACCACCACTATCACCCCACCCCTCCATAGAGATCCCCCCACTCCTACCCCCATCCCAATACCAACCCAGACGACAAAAAATCACCCTCCCCACTTCCCAACCACCCACAACAACCCACAACCCACACTCTCAACCACTGCTCCAAGGACTCTACCCATAGCACAAAAAGAACCACACATACAAAAATAGATCCCTCGCCCCCATCTCTTCCTTCACCACTGTCCCCCTGGCCCTTGGAAGATTGTTCACAAGGGAATGCCTCCCGTGAACTGAACAAGGTTCCCCAGCCCCTTCCTGGACCATTGGTAGAGATATCTGGAAATGTCAGTGAAAGTGGAGATATATTGGATTGCCAGCATCAAAAGAGTTGGGTTATCAGAGGTCCAGATTGGAAGGGAGCGTGTCATGCGTGAATCTGAGGCTTGCACAATTGTGTTCTTGTAATGCACAATCAGAGTTAAGGAACCTCAGATCCAGAGGCAAGAGCTTCCTATCTGACCTCAGAGGTCTGTCCAGTCCATGCCCCTTACCAGCCTTGCTTTGCATTCTCTATGAGTGTTCTTGCCTGTCCAGAATTTATCAATGAATTCTGATGGTGCCCCTTGGTTGCCTTGATGGAGGACAGAGAAGGTGTGTGTGAGGGCATGCTGAAACTTCCCTACTGTATGAAGGTAAACATTTACAATTGCTGCTTTGCCGACTTTTGCCTCTGGCCCCACCCACCACTGGCAGGTGGCTCCTAGTAAGTTGCCCAGAAGGGAATGTGGCCCCTGGTTCCTCAATCCTGTGCTTAGAGCTGGGGTAGCTGGCATGGTGCCCACCAGGTAATCTTGGATTACAACTCCTATCAACTCCAGCCAGCATTGCTAATAGTCAGGGATGGTGGCAGCTTCAGTGGGGCACCATGTTGGCCACTAGTGGTTTAGCGTTAATGCCCAGATATAGTCACAATATGCAATGCTAAAAATGCATTGCCCGGTCTCAGAAACTTACACTTGCATGGGAGAATTAAAAGGTCATCGCCCAGTGCTGAAATTACATCAAAGTGGGTGCTAGGCATGGCCTCCCAGGGGTGAGTTATCTACAGTGGTAGGGCCATAGCTCTCTGGCATGCAGAAGGTCCCAGTTTCAATCTCTAGCATATCTTAATAGTATGACTTGGTATAAGGCATCCCAGTGTTCAGAGGCAGCTGGGTTTTGAAGGTAAGAGTGTTGAGGGCTGGCTCTAGTGTTAGGCAGAATGAGGCATGTTCCATCCATTGCCATCAGTCACACCTCTACCAACAGACTCCCTGTTGCTGTGTGTTGCCTAACTCATGTGTTGCTCTTTCTGGCCCTGTCACTTGCAGGTTCCCAGTTTCCTCCCTGGCAGATGGACACTGGCACAGAGTGGCCCTTAGCATCTCCTTGAACAGGTTGGCTCTGTATGTGGACTGCTGCCTGCTGGAGAGCGTTGGCTGGTCTGGTTACTTTGGCATGGGGGTGGCCACGGAGGGCCTGGTGGTTATTGGAGGTCTCATCGAGCCCTTTGAGGTCCCTTTCGAGGTGAGGAACAGCATGGGTTTGCAGCTGCATTATTCTTTTCAGGACAGCGTCTACTACCATGCATGAAAATCACAAGGAATAAGGCAGCTTTCTCTGTTCTCAAATAGAAAAGCTGTCTATTACAACGCACCAGGAAACTGTTCAGCAGCCACGGTTCCCATAATCAGAGCCGTAGCTAGGTGATCTTGCGCCCCTGGCAGAACTGTCCAGATTGCACCCCCTAAACACAGACAAATTAATTCTTCTTTCCGCCTCTCCTCCAGCCCCACCCATTCAAGTCACCCTCTATTTAAAACCTTTTCTTATGAGGCAATAATCAATATTTTTATTTATGGACATATTGTAGCTGATTTTGCCCCCCTGGCGGTGGCCCAGCTCATCACCCCCTAGCTACAGCCCTGCCCATAATGAGTTCTTCCTAACACATACTGTCCATTTTTATCCAGATGCTGGTAAGAATGTGTATGTGCTTTAAGGGCATAAGAAGAGCCCTGCTGGAATGGGCACTTGTCTAGTCCAGCCTCCTGGTCTCAAAGTGGCCAACCAGATGCCCTAATGGGAGGCTTGTAAGCAGGACCTGAGTGCAAGACCCACTCTCCCTACCTTGCAATTCATAGCAGCTGGTATTCAGACAGAGGTAGAATGTAGCCATCATGTCTAGAAGCCATTGATAGATTGAACCTCTGTGAATCTTTCCAATTTCCTTTTCAAGCCATCCAAGTTGGTGGCCATCACTGCTCCTTGCTGGAGTGAACCCCAGTTTTAACTCTGTGCTGTGTGATAATAGTTTTATGAGAGAGTGATATCCACATTTACCACTCCATGCATACAGTGGTACCATGGAAGTCGAGCAGAATCCGTTCCGGAAGTCCGTTCAACTTCTGAAATGTTCAACTTCCAAAGTGCAGCTTCTGATTGGCTGCAGGAAGCTCCTGCATCCAATCAGAAATTGTGGAAGCCCCGTTGGATGTTCAGTTTCCAAAGGAACATTCAAAAACTGGAACACTAAGTTCCAGTTTCCGATTGTCCAGGAGCCAGAACATTCAACTCCTAAGGCGTTTGGGAACCAAGGTGCAACTGTATTTGTATACTCCTCTATCATATCCATTCTTCCCTTATCTCTTAATCACTAGGAGAGGAAGAGTGGGGCGGGGGAAGTGCACCGCCCCTGGCAGTGCGTTCTTGGTGGGGTGCCATTGTGGCTGCCCCCACCCGCGCTGGGCGCCATGCCCCCTGCAGGCAGCGTGCCACGCCCTTGCAGGTGGTGGTCATGCCCCCAGCACATGCACCACGCCCCTGGGATGCATGCCAGCCCCACCCCCAGGTGCCGGAGCATAAAGCTCCGCCCCTGCTCTTAATTTAACATCTCTGAAATGTTGCAACCAGTGCTTTTCTTCTAGAAAAAAGGTGCCGGTACTCACCATGAAGTTGTTACAGTCAGTGCCACACTTTTAACCAGTGCTTTTCTTCTAGGAAAAAATGGTGCTGGTGCTGTGTACCCTTGAGTGCAGTGGTGGAACTTCATGCACCAGCACTGGGGGTGGAGAGCAGGCAGGGGCGGGGCTGGGGCGCATCCCAGGGAGGGGGATCACCCATGGGTTTGGGGCACACGTCCTCGGGGCAGGGGGCACTGCCCACAGGGGCATGGTGTGCATTCTGGGGGCATAGCATGCTGCCTGCGGGGGCGGGTCGCCCAGTGCGGGGGGGGGCAGCTGCAATGGAACCCCACCGGGATCACGCTGCCCCCCGCTCCCCTCTTCCTCCGCCAGTGCTTGAGTATCCCCAGATAAAAAGCACTGGTTTTGACCTTTCCTCATAGGAAAGTTGCTGCAACCTCTTGATTGTTTTGGTTGTCGTTTTTGAATCTTTCCCCACTTTTCAGTACCCTTCTTGAGGCGAGTTTTCTCACACCCACCTTTCAGAAACCTAGAAGGGTGAACAATAGGCAGTGACTTAAGTTCATGTGTCTTGGAACTTTACTCCCCTACAATCTTGTTACTTTTCTATTATTCACTGTTTTATAACCCAAAACATGAGTACGTAATACAGTAATAAAACTTACATTCCGAAAACTTTTGGTGCTCATTATATTTTAACCCTTCCCAAACTCTCCCTTTCTTTCCAGGGTGCGCTGGCACAGCTGAGCTTCTGGATGGGAGATGCTGGAGTTGCAGATCGATCCTGTCAAGCCTCTTACAGCACCTGCGGAAGCCTCCTGGAGAAAGGAGCTCACCATGACAGATCCCACTTCTGGGAGAAGTTTCCCCAAGCTTGGACTCAGGTGGAACTTTGTAAAGGGTTGGAAAAGAAAGGTTGACGTGGGAAGGTAGAAAGAGCAAAGCAAATGATGATTTGATTACTGCTTAAGAACTCCCACTAAGTGTAGTTGCAAGTTAGCACCAAGTTGAAATGTTTTATCTAACCAGAAGTTGCATCAGAGGCCTGACGTCACTTCTAAGGCCATGTGGGGCCTTGGGGGGTCACACCTGAGGTCTCGCAAGACCTCCGATGTGACTTCTAGTTTTCTGCTGGAAGTCACGTCAGAGGCTTCGCGGGGTCTCAGACATCAAGCCTCCAACACGACTTCTGGTAGAAACTGTGATTCGTATTGGAGCCCTGCAGTGTGAGCGCTGAGCCTCCCCACACATACAAAATTTGGGGGCCCAGGCACCCAGGACAGCCTAGAGTTGGTGCCAATGTTATGCTCTGTCATGCCCCATTAGATCCAAAGGCCATTCTGGGTGGATGGAGTCAGTCTGTGGCCCTAGCATATTAAATCACCCAGGCCACCATATGATACAGCTGCACACAAGCCCAAAAGCTTCTGATTTTGAGTTCTGGTAGTTTTAAAGCCACATTATTTATTTATTTATTTAGAGCATTTGTACCCACTTTCAGCTGAAAAGGTCGCTGGGGTGGCTAACATACAATCAAAATTTGACAGCCCCTACCTGCAGCCTAACGGGACGCGGGCAGCGCTGTGGGTTAAACCACAGAGCCTAGGACTTGCCGATCAGAAGGTCGGCGGTTCGAATCCCCGCGACGGGGTGAGCTCCTGTTGCTCAGTCCCTGCTCCTGCCAACCTAGCAGTTCGAAAGCATGTCAAAGTTCAAGTAGATAAATAGGTACCACTCTGGCGGGAAGGTAAACGGCGTTTCCGTGCGCTACTCTGGTTCACCAGAAGTGGCTTAGTCATGCTGGCCACATGACCTGGAAGCTGTATGTCGGCTCCCTCAGTCAATAAAGCAAGATGAGCACCACAACCCCAGAGTCAGCCACGACTGGACCTAATGGTCAGGGGTCCCCTTACCTTTACCTTACCTGCAGCCTTACCAGTTCTGAGGCAGGAGGTTCCTGATGGTGATGGGCCTCCAGCAAAACTAGTGAAACGAGCTCAGCTTCCATATCTCTCCCTCTGAGGCAGTCTGGTGGAACGGCTGCCCCCAAATGATAGCTGGAGGCTGAGGAGGCCTGATGGAGCTGGCCTGTTACAGTGGAACCAATGGCCCTTATGCTTGAGCCTCAGGTGAGGAAGAAAAAGAAATGGTGCCAACCAATGTTCACTGCTATAGGAGGAGAGTGAAATTGATTGTGGCAGCAGCAAAAAAGTAAGGTGAGAATGTCGTCCTGCCCCCCCCAAAAAAACCCTAGCATTCACAAAACCTCCAATTTAAAGCCAAAAAAACGTCCTTTAACCAAAAAAGGGAGTTGTGCTGGAATGAGTTTAGAAAGGTGCTGTGGCTCAGTGCCAGAGCATCCGCTTGGCATGCAGAAGATCTCAGGTTCAGTTCCTAGCATCTCCAGGGAGGACTGGGAAACCCTGGAGTGTTGCTGCCAGTCAGTGTAGACAGTACTGAGCTAGATAGAGCAATGGTCTGATACAGAAGAAGGCAGCTACTTATGCTCCTGATGCAGGGATATTCCATGAATCACAATGCAACAGAAAGCAATGCTTTGCATGCAGTTGATTGTAACCATGCCAAAACCATATATATTTCTGCTTAGTGATGCTCGAGTCATCAGTGGGTGACTGCGAAACATTTGCCAGCTATGAAAATATTGACTTCTTTCTCATCTGGCTTCTGCTCTGTTTGCATTAGGTGCCAAATGTAACCAATGAGGTTCACCGATCCTACACAAAGGTACAACTTTTTCTAAACTGCACAGTGCCTAGACTCTACTCTTTGGTTTGCCTTATTAAAACAGGAGATTCAGACACTGCAGCATTTCTTATCTGATAATGGATGAGGTCATTCTGGATGCTCTGGATAATAAGAATAAAAATAGCAACTTCAGAGAAGTGAGCACAGTTGTGGATGCTGTGAAGTGTGCTAGTGTATGTGTTGTGAACAGCTGAATTTTGCAAGTGCGTAATTTATGTGGCTAACTCTGTGGATTAAGTAAATTTGATAATTTCCATATATTTGCTTCTTTGTCCATTTCCCTCCCTTCCCCACCTTCTGCTAAAATATTAAAATCCTTAGACCCTTCAGCCCCTGAGATTATACTTCTGCGTTCACCCATGAGGACTACAAACTTTAACAGCATGGAATCAAGATTTGAAGGCTGTTCAACTGTGTGAAGTAATTGCAGAGCACTTGCTGTTTGGGCTACAGCTGTCCACCCCACAAATCCCATTTAACTTTTCTCCTTCCTTTCCTTTTTGTTGATTTAAAAATAAATAAATACTGAAGCCATTTCTTTTTTAAAAAAAATAGTAAGGGGAAATGTGTCCTTGTTCATTCTCCCTAACCTCTTCAGTGTCTTTCAATACCATCAACCATGGAATACTTCTGGAATGACTGTTTTGGCACAGAAACTGCTTTGGTCACACTATGATCACCTCTGTCAGGAGGCCTCTGGAAACATTCCAGAAAGACAGACTTTTTCTATCTCTCCCCTGCTTGTTAGCTTCCCAAAATAAAGTGGATTCAGTCTTTCCCAAAGTGGTTTATATTGACCACCCTGGAATTGATGCGAATGTGCAGTGAACAAAGATCCAGTGGCAAAAAGTGTGAGGGAAACGGCCTGGGTGCGGAGAGAGGTATAGTACAAAAAAGTTTAATTAGTGATCCTCAGTAATGAAGGACCTGGGTCATGTACAGAGTGGTATGGCATCATTATTTTAATTTGCTTCACTCCCTAATCTTTTACATTTTATGATTCTGAGTAACTGATAATGCCAAGTCACATCAGTGGTCCATCTAGCACTATATTGTCTATACCAGTGGTTCCCAATTGGTGGCCCACAGACCCCAACTTACCCAGAGGGTCCATGGCTTGGCTTTTGAAAAACAGAGGGTCCACACTTCTTATCTATTTGGTAACCACTGACCTATGATCAACAGTGGTTGTCCAAGGTTTCAGGCAGGGGACACCCCCAGCCCTTGTAAGAAAAACACTGGGGCCTAATTTGATTAGTAGAATGTCTGGCATCTGGTGGGCGGGGCTTGTGTGCTGTGCTCTGGAATCGGCCCCTCCCTTCGAGTGTTCAGTTAGAGAGACCAACTGTCACTCTTGCTTCATTCTTGCTCATGTTGCTGTTTTAGTTTCTCTCACAGAGTATGTTATTGTGTTACAGTTTTCTTTATTATTAAAGCTTTGTTTGACATATACATGAGCCACTTACTTTGCTGAATGAAAAGAACCTCTGCTGAAGAATGCAGGAATATCCTAAACTGTGTGAGTGAGGGGGTATTGCCAGCCTGGCTGAAGAATTGATTAGACTTTTTTTTAATCACCCCACCCCTCCACAACAGCCCTACCTAGAGATGCTGGGGACTGAACCTGGGATCTTCTTCATGCAAAGCAGTTGCTCTGCCATTGAGTTTTGGCTCTTCTGTGTTCGAATCCCTTCTGCAAAATACAGAGAGCTTGGGGGCACCCTGAAATTATCCTAGTCTAATTTTGGACTCCCCTCTTCTTTTCCTTAAGCTGTTGTTTGTTTCCATTGCCTACTAATGTTGGCTGCTGCCACCACTTCTGCCTCTAAGAGTTGATTTATGTTTCAGTTACATTTCTGCCATAGTAAGAGTGCTTGTGAGTTTCATGGGCCTGGAGAGAAATGTAATGAGACTCTGGAACTGGGACAAGTCACTCCCCACACCCTCCCTCCCTCCCTCCTTCCCAAGCTTCTAATCAGAAACAGAAAACTCCTGGGATGTTTTAGAGGTTCAGTTGGACTTGTAAAAATAGGGGGGAAGGAACCCACTGCATTGGTGTTATGGGTTAAGAAATAATGAGAAGCAGCTGAGGTACTCCCCTCCACATTAACTTTTGCCTGCAGCTTCTCCTCCTTTTGCACCTAGAGAGGTAGATAGAGAACGGCTCCATGGTTGCTGTTTTTTGTGGTTACATTGCACAGTTGTACCTTCGAAGCCAAACGGAATCAGTTCCAGAAGTCTGTTCGACTTCTAAAACATTCAGAAACCAAAGCACAGCTTCTGATTGGCTGCAGGAAGCTCAAAAATGGCTCAGAAAAATCATATTTTTTGTGGGTGGTTGTTTTTTTTTGGGGGGGAGAACTTGGAAGAAAAGCCCAACAACTTTGGGGGAAAAGAAAACAGCTTAACAACTTTTCACTTTTTTAAATACGTCAGCCTCGATGTAGATATGGTCCTGATTCAGTTCAGGGGCTGGCCCTAGTGGTCAGAGACAGCAATGCTTCTGAAAAGCAGTTGCTGGAAACCACATGAGGGGAGGAAGGTCTTGTATCCAGGTTCTGCTTGCAGGCTTCCCACAGGAATCTGGTTGGCTACTTTAAGAACAGGGTGCTGGGCAAGATCGACCACTTGCCTGTTCCAGCAGGGCTCTTCTTATGTTCTTCTGAGAGAGGGCTGACTAAGGGCAGTCAGAAGTTGCTAGGGCAGAGCCAGCATGGTGTAGTGGTTAAGAGCGGTGGACTCGTAATCTGGTGAACCGGGTTTGCTTCCCCGCTCCTCCACATGCAGCTGCTGGGTGACCTTGGGCTAGTCACACTTCTCTGAAGTCTCTCAGCCCCACTCACCTCACAGAGTGTTTGCTGTGGGGGAGGAAGGGAAAGGAGAATGTTAGCCGCTTTGAGACTCCTTCGGGTAGTGATAAAGCAGGATATCAAATCTAAACTCCTCTTCTTCTTCTTAATGAACCGGTCTCCATTGCCAGACACTGACAACTTTTCTCTAGATTATTGCAGAGCAAAGGGCACCTTAGGACCCGGGGAGTTTTTGGCTGGTGGTGATTGATAGAGGGGGAGGTATCTCTTTTCTCCCTGCATCATCTCTGGTCACTGATATGAAGAACAGATGCCATTTGAGCTATAAATCATGTAATGTTTCAAGCTGTTTGAATACTCACCAAGGGGTGGTTGAGATACACAAGATGTACATTTTTTTCTTTTACGGGTTCCCTTCTGAACATCCCCAGTGAAGAATGGTCAGTGTGAACTCAAAATAAACCAGTCCGCTTATTTCCAGTCTCTGGGTTGTATCCAGCCGTCCTACTCAGAGTAGACTCATTGAAATTGATGGGTGTTACTAACTTTGATACAACCTTGTACTTCTTAACCCTGTGTTCACTCATAAGTCCATTCTGTTCTATTTCTGTATTAATCTGTGCATTTAAATTTGCATTCAAATACAGCACATGTTTCAGTATGTAAACTTCTTTTCTTTTGAGGGGGGAAATGGTTAAACCTGTTTCCTCTTAAAATATGCATACATTTTCAAAACACTGTTAAATTATTATTTTTTTGACCCATGAACCTGAACATTTTGCTGCTACCTGAACCTGCAGTCCTAACTCCACCTACCTGGGAGTAAGCCCCATTGAATTCGATAGGACTTACTTCTGAGTAGCCATGGCTATGATAGCATTTGAGTTCTGAGCTGTGCATTATTACAAGAGGTGTAGATTTGATTTGTTTTTGTTGGAATCTCAAAGGAAAAAAAATCCTCAAGTGTTCCTGGTGGAGAGATTAGATTCAGTTCATATTTAAAGGCTAAACTACCCAGTTCCCACTTTCTGAAACAGTATGTTAACTAAAAGGCAACCATCCTTCAAAATTTACACTTCTCCAAATTCTGCAATGCCAAGTAAGGTGGGACAAAAAATATGGGACAAAAAATGCACAGACTAAAGGAAAGCATGCATAAAAAAATACAATTGTTAATGAAACTGACAATGCTGTATATTAGGGGAAATTGCTTTATAAAGATGTTCATCTTAGGCAAAACTGCAAACAGAAGTTAGAAGAAAAGAAGGCTGATTGCCGAAGAATTGATGCTTTTGAATTATGGTGCTGGAGGAGACTCTTGAGAGTCCCATGGACTGCAAGAAGATCACACCTCTCCATTCTGAAGGAAATCAGCCCTGAGTGCTCACTGGAAGGACAGATCCTGAAGCTGAGGCTCCAACACTTTGGCCACCTCATGAGAAGAGAAGACTCCCTGGAAAAGACCCTGATGCTGGGAAAGACATCATCAGCACAAGGAGAAGGGGAAGACAGAGGACAAGATGGTTGGATAGTGTTCTCGAAGCTACCAGCATGAGTTTGACTAAACTGCGGGAGGCAGTGGAAGACAGGAGTGCCTGGCGTGCACTGGTCCATGGGGTCATGAAGAGTCGGACACGACTAAATGACTAAACAACAACAGCAATGACTGTTTTCTCCCTCCACTGAGCACTAGTTGCTAGGAATCACAAGTGGGAAGAGCACTGTTGTGCTCAGCTCCTGCTTGGAGGCTTCCCAATCAAGCATCTGGTTGGTCACTTCAACAATAGGATGCTGGAGTAGGCAGATCTTCTGCCTGATCCAGCAGGGCTCTTCTTATGCTCTACCTCTACTGTTAAGCCTCTGGATACCAGTTACCAGAAGTCGCAAGTGGGAAATTTGCTGCTGCCCTCAGGTCCTGTTGGCAGGCTTCCCATTGGAACATCCATCTGGCTGTTGCGAGAACCGGAGGCTGGACTAGATGGACCCTAGCCTGACCAACAGGACTCAGGCTCTAATGAGCAAACTTACATAGAGTTAGGAGTCAGGAAAATACAGTGGTACCTCAGGTTACATATGCTTCAGGTTACATACGCTTCAGGTTACAGACTCTGCTAACCCAGAAACAGTACCTCGGGTTAAGAACTTTGCTTCAGGATGAGAACAGAAATC